ACTCCAATGGCCTTGCATGCAATAAAGAAAGGAATCTCAAAGGCTGTCACGTAGCCTGAGCCTATGCTGTAACAAATGACACCTCTTATTCGCCAAATGGGGTGGCGACACCATTCATTTTTGTACTCTTTAGCCAAGTCCAATGGCGCCTCCCTTACTGTCCAATCGTGATACATGCATGGACTTATGAAACCCCATAGGCTGCCACCTATCCTGGCCCTATTCTGCACATATACATGTTTTTTGTAAGACTCCACCCATCAACTCCAATGGCCTTGCATGCAATAAAGAAAGGAATCCCAAAGACTGTCACGTAGCCTGAGCCTATGCTGTAACAAATGACACCTCTTATTCGCCAAATGGGGTGGCGACACCATTCATTTTTGTACTCTTTCTCCAAGTCCAATGGCGCCTCCCTTACTGTCCAATCGTGATACATGCATGGGCTTATGAAACCCCATAGGCTGCCACCTATCCTGGCCCTATTCTGCACATATACATGTTTTTTGTAAGACTCCACCCATCAACTCCAATGGCCTTGCATGCAATAAAGAAAGGAATCCCAAAGGCTGTCACGTAGCCTGAGCCTATGCTGTAACAAATGACACCTCTTATTCGCCAAATGGGGTGGCGACACCATTCATTTTTGTACTCTTTCGCCAAGTCCAATGGCGCCTCCCTTACTGTCCAATCGTGATACATGCATGGGCTGCCACCTAGCCTGCAAGTGTGATACCTTTCATTTTTTGTACATGCATGCATGCATATGTGTAACCCCCTAAGCATGCAAATGTGACACTTCGCAGGCATGCAAGCACAAGCAACCACCACATCAAACTTATTTGCCTATAAATACATACCATATGAAACATCTCTCACACCCCACACAAGTCTCACTCTCTGCTACGAAATATTTCATAAGTCTATCATACTCTGTATCTCTTCCTAAGTCTTTCATACTCTCAAGCATTCTAAACAATGGCTCTTCTAACAATGGGCGATACTCACAGAGGCACAAGGGAAAACATTGCTGCATTTGTAAGTCTCTTCTTTGGTTATACATTTTTCATACTTCAAATAACGCGTTGTTCATCTTAATTAATCTTACACCTGTTAAATTATGATCTCAAGACACAAAAAGATTCAGAATCCGTTCGCACAACTACCTGGCTCCCGACCCATTTATCGTCCCTTATCTGGAATACGCAGGTTTTGGACATGTGATAAAGATCTCCAACTGCACCATTGACTCAAAGTTCATTCTTGCAATATTGGAAAGGTGGAGACCGGAGACCCATACATTTCACCTACCAATAGGTGAATGTACCATCACGCTCGAGGATGTGTACATGCTACTGGGCCTCCCTATCGATGGTAAGGCGGTGAACGGGTTGGTTCAACAACCCAACTCACAGTGTGAAGAACTGTTGGGTAGGGATATGGTAGAAGGTGGTGGAGCAAGAGGACATGGAATACTACTCACTGACCTGAAACGTCATTATGCAAGTATGGAATTAAATGAAAATTCCTCAGAGAATGACCGAGTAGTAAAAGCCAGAACGTATCTTATGATACTTTTTGGTACATTTTTATTTCCCGAAAGTACGGGAAATAGTGTAAATTTTATGTACTTACATTTACTAACAAATTTTGAAAAAACTAGAAAATATAGTTGGAGTTCTGCAGTATTAGCCCACCTATACAGTTCCTTGTGCAAAAACGCAGTCAAGGAAAAATGTACATTTTATGGGTGCGCATTTTTACTACAAGCCTGGGGTTGGTGGAGGATGGAGTCCTTAAACCCCGTCAACAACAACACTTTTGGTTTCCCGTACGCAACAAAGTAAGTCATTAAGTTATAACATTTATAACTATTCTGCTCTTTCTAAAATATATGCTAAAAATAACATGTTTCTCATTTCCTTTAGGTACTGCGTGAGGGGTATGGATTACGGCAAGAATCCAAGATTCAATGCCGCACTCTACCGGAATCTGTTGGATCACTTAGGCCCAGACGACGTACGTCGTAGCTTTTAACTTTTGTTCATTTTAATTATTTATACATTACTTTTGCGCTAACCTGATTTAAATTTTATCGCAGTTCGTCTGGAGACCATATTTGGGCTTGGGCCATGATCCAAACCCAGAGGATGCAGCAACTTGGACTGCAAAGACTTCACTCATTCGGTTCAACATTGTGGAGATGCACCACAGCGACCGTGTGAAGATGCAGTTCAGAATGCATCAAGAGATACCAAGTGATCCAACAGATTTGTCCCCATGGCATCTTAAAAGGGTCGACGCCCAGTGGGGTCTTACCAATTGGAAAGACTTTGCTCCGGAATGGTGTAAGATGTGGCAGAGGCGTCACCGCTACGTCTTGCAATTCCCGGTTTTCCTTACTCAAGGTAACATGCGACACACGGATCAATATATGTCGTGGTACAGGTCGGTTAGTAACCCAGAAATGCACGTGTCTCATCCGAGGTACTTGGTTGACCCACGCACACAATGGGCACAACCCTCGATTCCCCATCAACAAACCCAAAACCCATCAACCTCCAACCAACCCCCAAGAAGAAACAGACCCACAAACACCCAACCATATTCCCCACCACAACACAACTACAATCAAATGTCGTACTACCAACCACAATCACCACCAAACTACCAATACCCCGATATGCCTCAAACCCAACCACAATACCAACCCCAATACCAGCACACCCAAATACCCCACACACAATTTCAGTCTTCCACATATCCAATATGGGGCCCTCAACATCCAGCCTTAGCCCTGATATGGGAATGTCGGAAGATTATGACCAAGCCGACCAAACCTACCATCACACACCATATCACCAAACCACCCAACATCCACAATACCAAACACCCCAAGATCCATTTCCTTTCTACCCCCCATACTCAGACGACCAATGCTACCGACCAACCATGGAACCCCACCACCGCCAACACGACCAAACTTTGAGGGTATGGGTAACTGACTGTACCAGAGCGGATCTTCTAGATATGGAGATCTTACTGATTTTATGGATTCGGACCGCATTGACTTCGCTGGGCCATCGACCTTGCCACAGCAGGAAACGCGACGGCACCCAGCAAGAGAAAGGCGAGGACGGGGATGCGGAACCGGAGGTCATTACCGGGTTCCGGGGGATCACTGAGGTATCTTTTTTTTCCGAGTATTTTTGTATCCATTTTTTTTACTGTTATTTTAATGTAATACAGTTGGATGTAATTAATTTTTTTTAATAAAAATTCCATTTTGTTGATCTCTGTCCAATAGGCAATGCATAGGAAAAAAATAAAAATAAAATATTTTTGCCCTAAAATTACACTTAGGCGCCATCTCACTTGGCTTAGGGCATGCCCTAAGCACTTAGGCGCCAAGTGAGATGGCGCCTCCCTTAAAAAAGGAGGTGCATGCGCCAAGTGAGATGGCTCCTCCTTTGTGGAGCCATCTGAAACATGGTTATTTGCGTAATTTTTTCCGAAACCCGGTTATTTGCGAAATATTATTTTAATACTTGGTTATTAATAAAAAAAATTCCCCAGTTGATATAACTTGCTTGTATAAAAATCTTTTGTTGTATAATATGCAAAATTAATGATAATTTCTCTTCTCACTGTCAATTACTCTCTCTCACTCTAATTCTCTTATTTTCTCGCTTCATCTTCTCTACAAACATCAAAACCTTCATTGATTCACCAATTAAACTTCATGTTCTAACAAATTTATATATCAATTTTACAAGAATGTGAATAGACATAAATATTTTTATATATAAACATTTTTAAAATATTATTTATGGCTCTATTTGATAAGAGAATTTTTATGGCTCTATTTGATATCTATCATTTTTATTGACTTTATATCTTATTTTAATAAGCTAATTCAAGTTATTTTATAATTTGCAATTTTTCCTTTCAAATTTACCTTCTTAATTTTAATTAGAATAATTTGTTAAAGTTTTTTTCATTTCATATTTATAAATTATTTCATATTTATAAATTATTTCATCGCTAATTTTATTAATCATTACAAATTCAATCAAAAAAGTTATATGCAATCTTTGTCAACTACTATTGTAGTAATTGATAAATCATCCTCTATAAGTCCGTCCTCAATAATTTGTTAATCAATCTTTATAATTTTTCTTCTAATAAGCAAATGAAGTGATAAAGATATCTGGAACATACACATACTAGTACAATTTGTAGACTTGAACTAATAATACACTCCTTCCGTTTTAAAGAAAACAATTTGTTTTAAAATAAATATTATTTTTATTTTTTAATATAATAATCATAGTTATTTTCTCAATTATGTCATATAATTATTATTTTGTATACTATTTCTAATATATTAATAAAATTAATTTAATAAAAATATAATATCTCATATAATATAATTACATTCTTTAATTTATATACAAAAACTTTAAACAGTATTCAGTTTAAAACAAAAGGAGTCTTATTAAAAATCATTTCACAGTTACTATATTGTCTGTTTTTAGAAAAAGAAGCAGAAAGATGAACTATGAAAAGACGAGCAGGAGATGTAATAATAAGATTAGGTAGATAGGTTAATAATAAGAATAAGTAAATGAAGTGTGTTGCTTGCTTTCGGACCGAGATATAATAATTCTTTCATTTCAAAATGATTTGTTGTTTTAATAAATAAAATTTGTTTTAAATTGATTGTTATTTTTATTTTTTAATATAATAATAATTATTATTCTTTCAATTATATTTTTTAATTATTATATTATACACCATTTTCAATATCTTAATATGATTAATTTAATAAAAAATGTATTCCTTAATTTATATCTAAAAATTTTAAACATTGTGGTTTTGAAACGGAGGAATTACTGTAGTAATAGTGATTCTAGGATATAGGGCATGCTTGCTAGATTCAGCATTATTATATTAGATTCAGCATTATTATAAGATTATTTCCTCAAACTTCATCATCAATGGCTGGAGGAAATTCAACCCTCCCCATCTGTTTCTTCAAGTTTATTCTTCAAACCAATCTTCAAACTATTGTAACCATTCCTTTTCATTTACTACTACTCTCAACTACTAACTTTATATTTCTACCTTATATTTGTTTTAACATTTTTTCTTGAAAATTTCTAGTGCTTATATTATTTTTATTTTTTTTTACAGAAAATACCAAATAAGTTTACAAGGAGTCATGGTGTTGGTCTACCAAACCCAATGTTCATCAAACCTCCTGATGGCACTAAATGGAAAGTGTTTTGGAGAAACATCAATGGTGAGATTTGGTTTGAAAAGGGTTGGAGTATTTTTACTCAAAATTACTCTCTACAACATGGTTGTTTAGTGGTGTTTAAATATAAAGAGGGAACATCAGAGTTAGATGTAGTAATACTTGGCCAGAATGCACTTGAAATTGACTATGATTCTAAGTGCGACACTGTTGATATTTTGAATGTTGATGATAGTGATGATGAATCAGATGAGATTTTGAATGAATGGCTTAATAGGAAGAAGGTTAGACAGAAGTCGCCATTAGTTTCTACTAGAGCACATAAAAAAGTTAGAGGTATTTGGATTTCATTTTCTGTTTTTTATTCTTACTTTGCCATGTACTTTGTGTGGTATGTTATCTAAGAGTGTTTGTTTTTTTATGTTCAACATATATATGTAGGTGAGATTGAGAAGAATAGTGAAAGAACTTCATCATTGAATAGGCCAAAGGAATCTAGAGCTCGGGAAGTTGCTGAAGAATTTATCTCAAACAATCCCTTTTTCACAATTTGGATCAAGCCTGCTTATCTGGCAGAAAATCGGCCGGTAAGGTTAAACACAAGTGATTTACATTATTCATGCAATGCTATAATATATGCATGTTAGTTATGTTGTATAGTTGTGATTATAAATTATATATACAATGCAGTATGTACCAAATTTACAAGGGGTTATTGAGAACAAGAAGACGAATATGATGCTTCAGATTGGTGAAAGATCCTGGAACCTGAATTTGCTTCCTTGTTACTATAATATAAGGAGCCGTCGGCTTTCGGCTGGTTGGTCCTTGTTTGCAAGGGAAAGTGGTTTGCATCCGGGAGATGTTTGCATCTTTGAACTGATAAACAAGAAAGATTTAGTTTTTAAAGTTCATGTTTTTTAAAAGGACTGTTAATGGACCTATATATGTTTGAAGATGTTATTTTGAGTGAGGTGAAGTAATCTTCAGCTTTGCTTGTAAATGTGTTAATTTTGAAATATTTGAAGAAAATTTAATATGGAAATAAAACAAACTCATCTGATAGAAGTAGAAGAAGTAAATTCTCTCTCAAGTAGAATTTGAATATTCTGCAAGAAAATCTTGAACATTCCGTTTCAAGTAGAATTCGAGTGCTCTCTGCGAACAATTTTGAGCATCATCAGAATAGATGATCCATTATAATTTACACTCTTAGAATAAGTGTTGTAGAGTTGACTAGCACATTTGGTCTGTATTATATTTTGTTTTTGATAATTTAAATACTTTGCAAGACAATCTCGAGCATCCTCTTCAAGTAGAATTCGAATTCTCTGGAAGACAATCTTGATCATAATAGAGATAGATGATCCATTACAATCTACACCTTTAGAACGAGTGTTGTAGAGTTGGCCAACATTTTTATCTAGACTATTATGTTTATTTTATTTTATTTTTCAGACAAATGGATGATCTCTCTAATGTATGCCCAATCATTTTTTTGGATAAGCAACATGTGTTAATAGATATAAGAAGTGCAAAAAATACAAAAACGCAAGAGGCTACAAGGACACCCCAAGACAACTCCAACAACATCCACTACAAACCAACACACAACAAAGGAGTAGATAACAAAACCTCCTTAACAAAACCTACTCTCCCTTTATCAAGAATTAACAACCACACTACAAGAAAAGGCTTGATTAGCTAGGGGATTTAGTGAGGTAATAAATTCCTCACTAAATTTTGACATTGCTAGGGGTAAACCCCTTTGCAAATGACAAAATCGAAAAGAATTTTTTTTTTAAAATGATGATGGGCTACCCCTCGCAAATAAAATAGGAGAGATTTTTGAATTTTAAAAATTTTACCGTTCTACATTTTGCGAGGGACTACCCCTCACAAAATATAACTAACATTTTGCCGGGGGCTACCCCTCACTAATTGTCCTACTTTAAAAAATCCTTACTTTCCCATATTCATTCGTGTCTCTTCTTCTCTTTCTTTTCTCTCTTTCTTTCTCTCATATTCCCACCTTCTTCTACATTCATCTCTCATTTTTATTAACTATTAAAGGTATTGTTCTTTTAAATTATATTTTATATAATATTTAATTTATGTTTTTTACTTTCTAATATTTAGTTTTCGTTTTATGTTTTTAGATATATTTTTATCATTGAAGACAATTAAAGAATTTAAATCCAAATTGGGTGTTCATCAAAGGTATATATTTTTTGTTTATTTTTTCTTAAATCTTCTTATATAGTTGTAAATGGGCGTTGTTTGTTATTATAGTTGTAAATGAGTGTTGTTAAATAGGTGATGTTTGTTATTATTTGTTATTATAATGATTATGAGTGATGTTTGCATAAATATTTGTTGATTAAAAATTATTTATTTATAATGATAAGTATGCTAGAAACTAGTTAAAAATATTTATAAAAAACAGTAGTATGTAAAATGATTTTTTTAGTTATAATACTTTAAAAAATAGTAAGGCAATAAATATATTATCCATTAAAATAATATTAGTCTGAAGTTCTAAACAACTCTTGTTTTACAAACTTCTCACCTAATCACTACTCATGCTATTTCTATCTAAGACTCTCCTAGATATAAGATCCATCTCACTTCCCTTCAGTCAAAAACCAGTGACAAACTAACAATGATAACTAAAGTAGAAGAACATTCTTCAAAGAGAAACAATCATCTCTGCTTAAAAATTATGGCTGATGAATAAAGATAACTTGACATACAATCCACTATTGCTTAAAAGTTTATGAGTGATTGACAAATAATAACTTAAACTCAGTCCAACTATAATATCAAAGTGATAAGAGAGTGAATCACAATGAACAATGAACAAAATAAAAACCCTAAACCCTTCCAAGAAGTAAAACCTAAGTTGCAGTGATGTTCTAGTATAACATATTAGGACATCGTGCTCAACATCTGTCTTTAGTGATTTATGTCGAGTATGTCAAGACATTTGTCACAGCATCTTGCTGAGATACATGTTTTAGAAAAATTGCTTCCAATCATGAAACCGCAGACTTAACAATTTCCCCCTTTGACAAATTTTGGCAAAAAACAACCTCTGTAAGATATACATGTAAATAAAAAACAACGGCAAAACAACCACAAAACACAAGATACATGAACACCATGCATACTTGGAAAAAATAGCAAACAATAAACAATCAGAGTCACACGAAGCAAACACAACTAAAAGAGAGACAACCTCACACACAAAATTCCAGTAGAGATCATACGTCACGACATTATGTCTGATATCACAAAATAACATCGCAACAACATATAAGAGATAATTAAACTCTCATTACACCAACACCATTCCCCCTGTCACTACACTCCCTCTGTCACGTGGAATCAAAACTCCCCCTCAAGGGAACATCCTTCAAAACAACTCCAAATAAATCAGGATCAAACAATAACATATCCATAGAATAAGAAGAGAACATACCCACATATCCAAGCAATAAAAAACACCATTAACACCAGTTCATGTCATAGGCATACAACAGAAATAAATAACACCCAGCTTCAAAGAAATCTCTTCTCATGAATCACACAATCAAGATGCCAGAATATCATATATGATTTCACAAGCAACCAAACCATACATCATAAACTAGCAAAGAAAAACATGTAATCTCTTGAGCAGTCAATCAGATACAAACTACTCCACAAGTAGAGTCCTCCAACACCCACCATACCAAACTACCAAACTCCTTTCTAGCATCACTTTAGGAAGTACTTGAGGCATGCAAAACTAATAACTAATACTGATATTACCCCCCCCCCCCCCCCCCTTTTAGCCAAAAAAATTGAAAAAAGCATACATGCATTCGTTAGGAGCAAAAAAAAGAATACCACCTAATCTTACTCTAATCTCTGCACCTTTACCTCTGTCATAAACCTTCCCGCTCTCCTTACTCATCTTACTGACACATTTCTTAGAAGTGTTAACAATGAATTCTTTCACCATCACCTCAGAACATTTCCCAGAACCAAAAAACTTCTTCATCAAACCATCTACCTTAATTAGATCTACCACCTCCTAGGAGTCAAGAGCATCCTTACCAATCTCTCTTTCTAAATTCAACCTCCTTTGGTACATATAATTCCATTTTTCAACATACTCCTCAAAGATAAAAGAGATGTTGTCAGTGGGAACTTCAAGAACATTAGCAGTGACCTTTTTTCCCCAACATCTTCTTTCAAATTAATGATGTTTTAAACATCATAATCAGAGTCACTTAAAGATGCTTTCTTCCTTTTCTTAGCAGAAGTAATAACTTTTCTCTAAACTTTAACAGATCCATCAATGACCTTTTTCTTGCCAACTTTAGAGGGCTTACTTTCACATTCCACAATCTTCCCTTTCCCATTCTTCAGTCTTTTGGAAATACCATGAGCCAAATTCTTCCTTATAGGGTCATTATGAGAATCTAAGTCATCTACATTGACAATGTTAGAAGATTAAAGTTTCTTCAAAACATAAATTTTCTCTTTAGAATTCTCAGGAGCCTTAATGTCAGGATGAATAGTTTGGGCCAAGAATGTTGAAACATTAGGCTCAACATTAGTTTCAAGATCACGAACCATAATTTTAGAAAGTGATCCATCAACAACAGTTTCTGAGACAAACTTTTCAGTTGTTCTAATATTACCCACTTCATTTGAAACAACAAAACCTTTAGCATAAGTGCCAACATCGGGTTCAACATAAGGGGTTTGAGTAGGATCAAAATACAGCCTTATCAGAGTCAGGTTTCTTGAAAACAACATAAGATTCAACACTCCTAGGAGAAATTTGAATATGGAGTGTAGGAAGGAAAAATAGAAAGTTTGTAATGATTTATCTAGAGTTTCGTGTACTAATAAATGGAGGAAAGAGAAAATATCATTTGCACGTCTCCATACCGGTAATTACTATAACTTATTAGCAGTACAAATTCTTAGTTCACCCCTTACCTTCTCAGCCTTACTTGCATCCAAAGCTTCAATATATATATATATATATATATATATATATATATATATATATATATATATATATATATATATATATATATATATATATATATATATATATATATATATATATATATATATATATATATATATATATATATATATATATATATATATATATCTGTCAGTTGCTTCTCAGTGCTCACATGTCCAAGCGACACAATTTTGTCTTCAACAAGGTCCTTAATAAAATGATGATGAATGTTAACATGCTTTGTCCTACTATTTTGAATGGGATTCTTGGATATGTTGCTAGCACCCAGATTGTCACAATATAATTTCATGACATCTTGCCTGACATTATACTATTTTAATATATGTTTCATCCAAATTAGTTGAGAATAACTTTGTTCTGCTGTAATATACTCAACTTTGATAGTAAATAATGAAACATAATTTAGCTTCTTGGTGAACCAAGATATGAAATTATTCCCCAAGAAGAACCATCCTCCAAAAGTACTCTTTCTATCATCAGTAACACCTGCCCAATCTTCATCACGATACCCTTCAAGCTCAATGTTGAACTCAATGTCTTCCTCTTGTTCTAGATCATCAGTCTGCTGAGGTGATGTTCCAACATCTTCTTTGACATCGGTCACGTTTTGAATGATAGAATCATCAACCACAACATTTATAGATTCCATTATGACTTTGGTTCTGAAATTAAAGATTCTATAAGCTCTTCTATTTGTATAGTAACCCAAAAATATCCCTTCATTACTTTTGTGATCTATATTTTTCTTTTGTTCTCTTTGAATGCACTTACAAAGGTCTTTAAAGACTTTAAAGACATCTAATTTTTCTTTGATAAAGATCACCCAAGTAAGTCTTGAAAAATAATTAACAACCACATAAACATACCTCTTTCC